TTTAAATGAATACACTTCTAGAGCCATATCTATGATATGCTTTGACTGATTATGTTCAAATTTTATATATTCATTTTACATCATGTTATAGATATATAGGTGTAATCAAAATGGCTGACTGGTGGCTATTTTGTTTTAATTAATGCTGTTGCCGGGCAATATTTCTCAATATGGACAAGTACAAGCATCATCTTCTGGATCCATGCTTCTGACATGTTTATGTTCCAACTATATTATTATAAACAAAACTATATATCTTAAATTTGATAACTAACAAAGACTATGCCATGCATGGCTTGTCATTTGTTGAATTGATCAAATTATTCTATACTACATACATATATATACTATTATTTCACATTGAAGTATTTCATCAAAAGAATTCTGATTTATTTGCTGCCATAATTCATATTACTTTACGCAACCAAAGAAATTATTTTAAGATGGAATTTTAAGTACATCCAACAGATTTTGAACCAATTTATATTGTGACTTTTCAACAGGTTATTTACATGCAGTTATGATAGAGCAAAATATTACGTGGTATGTATCGAAACATGAAATATGGAAAAACATGCAGAACACTCATTTATTTATCTATTTTTCGAATAACAATGTTGGTAGGTTTCTTCAGTGGTAATGCTTTTGTAATTCCACTTTTTTTTGCCAGTGCATGAGCAGTGGTCGTTGACCAATATGTTATATATGAGGAAAGATAGAATTTTGACATTGAAAGACAACATTCATTGTAAATATAAAGATAGTATTAAATCACTTATGTGTGAGCTCCACACACCTCATTCAAACGGTGTTCTGATCATCAGCATGGTACCAGCTCTTCTCCAACGTCTGACAAGCAACATGTTGCCCATCTCTTGGTAATAATCAACAGAACATGTGCTTTCAATACTTATCTGAAATTTGATAAAATGTACTGCAAGAAAAAGCTGGTTGTTATTTTATATCATTTATCAAATTAAAAAACTGTTTGAAGACCACAACAACTTTGGATTGTTGACATGTGGATTGTAAATGAAAGACAGCATTCTTTGTAAATGAAAGACAGCATTATTTGTAAATGAAAAACAGCATTAAATGAATGTGGCGTACATTTCTCAAGATTTTGTTTTAATGGAATTCAGAGATAGTTGTGTAATTATATTTCTGTGAGTATTTATGACTTATGATGTACTTTTGTGTATTAAAAATAAACTTCTTTGTTTTAAAAAAATGTCATAAAACCCTTGCTTGTTAGTCCCCATTTCAGGCACAGCCGGAAAAGAGAAGTATAGTTTATTTCCGGTTTTTGTCTATGACGTCTCTAACATTCTCTCAGAAATTCTGCAGCAGATATCGATGAAACTTGACAGGTTGATGAATAAGTCTCTGCCGAATATGCACGTAATTTTTTTTCAGATCTGAAAATCCTCACTGGGTCTCTTTCATGATTTTCATCCAAAATTACCTCTCCCAACACCACTGAGAGAACAACTGAGCATGTTCAGAATAAATAATTAGCTTAATTGTAATGCGGGAGCGGGGGGTGGGGTGGGGGTGGGGTTAGTGATGTCATGACCTGGTCATACCATTACTAATCCCTTTTGAAACTGTAGAGGGTTGTCAGGGCTACATTTTGAGGGGAATTATAGTGGTGATACTGAAACAAACCCAGGTCCTACAAAGATATACAAAGACCTGAATTAACAAAGAAGTCAATTACATCATCAAGGTTTACTCAGATTCATGAATGCAGTTTCTTGAGCATGTATACATGTATGAGACGTAGTTTGGTTGCACTTGCGTACTCTGAGATTTTGGACTCTGGGCAATGGAAGTTTTCAGTACAATACTAGATTAAGGGAAATCACTTTATGATGAGTTGTACCCACATACAGAACATATTAATTCAACTGTTTGCAGATGTTCCATGTATTATTTTAAATTGAGTATTTTATAATTAAATGACGAGAACTGTGACATTCATGTCTATGTCTTGTTTTAAAAATATGTTGCCAGCTGAGGGGTCTTTCTACTTTGTTTGCGCTGTCTTAACATTTTTTTCAGTGCCTTTACTGGCAAGGGTCAGTTCATCAGTTACCTTTTCTGATGATGGATTTTCATTGATAAAGTTTCATTTACTTGTTGTAATGTCTTCCACCAATATCTCAACTACTCATCAGATTTCAATGAAACTTGGTAAATGAGTGCTCTGATTACTTCAGGGTAGAAATCTATGTATATTAATTACTCACCTTGTACCAATTCAATCGCGTGACCTCATCAATATGCATAAGTGTAGTATCTCAAGCACTATTTTACTATGAACAGAGATCTGTTCCACTAGCAGTTTCATTGAAATGATTGCACAGCTGACACAATCCCTGTGTCATCCATTAGGACCTACTCTGCTTTCAAACATTCAGTGTGCTGGTCATCTAGAATTACCCAAATGCACAGAGGTTCATCACACTGGCAAGGTTGGATGGTATTGGCCCACTGTACATCCAGAAGGAAATCATGCATTCTACTGACGCGCTGTATCAATCTGCACAGGTGTTAGTTCATTGGCCCTCTATTGGGGTGTAACCCACAACACTGAATGCATGGCAGACCAAATACAAAGCACTATGCATATTTGTGCATTTTTAACCCTGTCAGAAGCAATAGGGGTCTGTACCCTCTTAGAGCTTGAACACAAACAAGCATTTAGTGCTTACCCTCTCTCGGAAGACAATTTTAATTAGAAATTTTTAATTACTGTTTTAGAAATCAGAATTAATTTGGGTTCTGTGTGTCCATCCATCCATGCTTTGATCGATCACATTCAACATTAAGACCATGTGAACACAGACCATTACCTACATATGCACATCAGTTTTAATTACCATTTGATAAACTATGGCTGATTGGTGGCCATTTTGATCCGCAACATTGCTAAATAATGATACTTGAACAAGGCATTTTTATTCAAAATTTGTATCACGAACATGCAAAAATCGCTGACTGACCACCATTTTTTTTCCATGTGCATGAGGATTCCTCACAAATATATCACCTGGTTCAGTTTGCACACAAGTGCTATACTATATAAGTACTGCCATAGGTTCTGTTACTTTGTGTGACTTATCAAATTTTTGGAATTGTCTGAAATTTTTATTTGGAGTTTTTACATTTCTTTGGATTCATTGCTCAAAGATGAACAGTGCTTTGTACCAGAATCATGCATACACCACTGACACTGGGGTTAGAACCAGTTAGACATTCAATTCCGAACCCACACTGGATACTCCTCCACATCCACTCATTCCTGTAGGACATTGTGGTTCAGTAGAAGAGGGGAATAACAGATAAATTTATTCTGTCAGTGATAGTGTGATAATTCAAGAAACCTCTTGTCTTGCGAAAGGATCAAAAATAGCTGACAAAGGTTGCAGCCTTGTTGCATAATAAGGTTGTTGCAGTCTACAGGTGGTCTCAAACTAGTGTTAAACCACACTATCCCTGGTCTGGAAACGGTTATTGTATTAGGTGTGAATTGGCCTCCTTCCCTGGCAAAGGCGCATTGCCCGGTTGGGCAAAGCATTGTCGCGTGATCAGTACGCAGCCGGCCACTACTTTTACATCGTCAGTGTTATGTGTTTTTTTACAACTTAGTTGTTTATTCCAGAATTCGTGCTTTTTT